TACCGGAAGGGCTCCAGATTTACACATGCTGTCATAATAGGAAAAGAGGTGCGCTGTACTGTAAGAGTTGCACTTGCTTCGACGGGGCTCTGAGACGATGCCCTTCTGCCTCAGGAAGGCCACCGTGCTCTGCGCGGGCTGCTGCACGGAGGACTGCACGGAGCGGCCCTGGAGCTTGGCTTTCAACAAAGCGAAGACGAAGGGCGCGTGGAGCAGGCAGGTCACCTGGCCGATGCGGCAAGCGTCCTCGATGCTGCCTCGTCGGAGGCGCTTCGTGCTTATGTGCTTCCGCTTGAAAAGGCAGAGGACTGAGGATGGGGCAGGGCTATGGCGGCTATGGGGGCTATGGCTGTTGCTTTGCACTCCGGGCTTGGGGGCGTTGGCCGGGTGTTGCAGGCAGGCTGCAGGGGGTGAAGACCACGTCCCAGCCGAAGCCACTGAGAGTGCTATACTGGTTCACGCAGTTGAAGACGATGAGCATCCAGTCCAACAGGAACCAAAAGCCGAAGCCGCCCACGGTGAGAAGCTTCAAGGTTCCCAGAATGAAATTCCCCACCAGACAGTGGTCCAAGCCACAGAAGCCCAGACCCAGGAAGACCACGAAGATCAGCATCACCTTGCTTTGGCCTCGGCTGAAAGGGGGGTTGGAATAAAGAAGGGAAAAAGGAGAAGGGACGGGGACCACCGTCGTCCTCGAGTCTCGCCGAGGCGCCGCGGCGCTCGGTCTCGAGCTCGTACTCCGCCTGAGCCAGCGAGGACGGTTTGCTGGCAGCCGCCACGGGATGGCCCCGGTGGCCATTGTTGCTTCGGTTCCCGCTCTGGTGGCTCTCGCTACCATTCATGGCCATGGCCCCCACACTCCGCTGAGCCGAATGGGTCGAGCTGTTCCCGAAGTCCAGCGAGCGGTCCAGGGCGTGCGTCAGGTCTTCCAGCGGCCGGGTGGCCAGGCCGAGATGGGGCAGAGACAGCAAGGCAAGCACGGAAAAGAGAGGCGACATCATTCCGGTGAACCCGACAGGAGACGGCGCTTCCTTGGCAAGGACACGGTGACTAGCAATGACTGACTGGCGTTCTAGGGCTGATTGCTACAGGCCGGGTCGGCCGAGTCCAGGAAGCGCAACCGTCAGAACATGAAGACTCGCTTAAGGGAAGGACGCGAACACCTTGAGCCAGAAATGGCCAATTCAATTCCAACACGGGTCACGGGACGATTCCGGCACCAACACACCCCGATCTTCAAGCACGCAGCTCGTGCTGTCTGTCTCTGGCCTTGCGATCGAGCTTCTTTGAGGTCACAGCCTGCAGGCTCTGCAGGACCCACGTCCCACGGAACAATTAGCGAGGCTCCGATCCTTTAGGTCCAGGACACGGTTCTCCTTGACGACCTGCCGCGACGTGAGTCGAGTGGAGCCACGGAGGCACACGCGACGGGTCGCCGCTTGCAAAGTGGGGATGCATCCATGCGCGCTCTCGCCGCCGCGCCGCCGCCGCCGCTGCCTGGCCTGCGGCTCCAGCTCCTCCGGCGTGCGCTCGTGGCGCACCTCACGGGAAGATCTTCGAAGACTCCACTGAGACTCCACTGTTTCTCTCCGCTCTCTCCACTTTCCGCCGTTGGGCAGCGGGACTCACTCCTCCCACCTCGCTCGGGGGCTTCGGAAAGCCGTGCTGCAAGCAGCCGATCTGGAACGCGAGGCAAAAGGAGCACCCCACAAGGGCGGCTTCGGCTGAGTCTCGCACACCAAAGCCCAGTGTCAGCGTCAGCATCGCACCGCACACAGCCGTGGCACTGCCACTCCTGACTCCAACGTGCCCCGGACCCCCTGCGATGCTCGGAGCATCTTCAGGTCCGCCCGGGCCCCTGCAAAAGGTAGTCGCGCACGAAGAGCTCAGACCTGCACCGGCGCGGGAGGCGCGGGAGTTCGGTCTTGAAAGCTGCGGCGAGTAGGGCACCCACCCTTTTCGTTTCAAGCTGCGCGAGAGGCTTTGGGCCGCCATGTTGTCGAAGGAGCAGCCTGTTTCTCTTTAGGCCGTCTCTGCTCCGGCCGACCCGACGACACCCACAGGGCCCGCACTCGGCATTCCCATCCCCAGCGGGATCGCAAGAGCACACAGCCTTCATGAAAGGTCCCTGAAACGTCCAAGCGCGAAAAAACTCCTCGAGGCCCCGAGCATTGCAAAGAGCTCCGCGGCCTAAGGCACCGATGTGTTGAACTCCGCTAAGGGATCCTCTGATCAGCTCTCAGCTCTTGGCCTTCAGCTTCACGCCCAGCGCCACCTGATTCTAATCACCCCCCAATGGAAGCCCAATGTAAAAAGAAACCGCTGAAACAGCAAGGCAAGGCAGACAAAGGAGCAGCAGGCTTTGCTCAAAAGAAGCCGGCTTCAGCTACTGCATGGCGAATGCAACGGATGCAGCGGAGAGCTCAATTAGGTCTGGCCACCAGCAGAGGCAGCGCAATGACTCCAGCGAGCTGATGGCCGCAGAAAGTACCTCTCTGCGAAAGGCTCTTCTTGCGCGTACTTTCTGACGCACACTGTTCGCAGTTGCTTGGTGGCAGGGGGCACCGAAGACGATCAGCGTCGAGATCACCAGCGCCGTGAAAGGCCAGAACCTTGGGGGGCGGGCTGGGGCGGGCTCGAGGCTCCTTTTCGGTTTCACGGCCGGAGCTGAGTGCCTGGCGACAAGCCGCCAATGAGACCCATCTGAAGTTGATGCAGGTTGCAATGCTCCAAGCCTTGAGCCTTCTCCGCCTGGGTCATGATGGCGGAGCCTTTGGCTGCGAGCGCCGTTTCCCGCACCATGAGGGCCATCACATTGGTGCCTGTTGCGCAGGCATCGGATCTAAGGGCAACAGGGGCGAAAGCTGCTCTATAACTCCTCTACAACGTGCCTCCGACGATGGCCAAGAGATCCCATTCCAGGCACAGGAACTCGTCACCTCGAAAGGATCTTCAGTTCGTTTCGGGGCCCGGGCCTCTCTGGCAGCTTCCGGGCGCCGCCGCGGGAAAGAAAGCCGCTCCCGAAAGCCAGAACCTGAGAAGGGACCGTGGGACCCCACGGAAAGGTTTCATCCGGTTCTCTTATGGTTGTTTCTGCTCTCCGTTCTTTGTTCGTTCTCTTGCCCTGCTCTTCTTTGAAGGGCGGCCCAATGAAGCGAGGGAATCTATGCACACTGGTACAAGCAACGCCCAGCTCCCCAAAGCGGCCCTGTGGAACCTCTGCACGTCTGGGGCTCCCAACAACCCCCTGTTACCCCGGAGCCGGCTCAGGGAGGATTCTTGCAGTGTTTTCTGGCTGTTGGTCCAGCAGAATCCACATTTTCGCAGCTTCGTCTTTTTACTAGATGTCGCTGATTGTCTCCTCTCCTCTGGAGCTTCCAAGCCCCACACTACCACGGCCAGGGCGAGGATCGCAGGATGACCTCGCAAAAACGCTGACTCAGAAGCCTACACCTAGATATAGATGCCTTTTTCAAGTATCTTCTCGAGGACCACATCCACCTACTGTGCCACAGGACTCCTGAGCGAGGTGCCCAAAACGGGCTCCAAGGCCTGGCAGCGGAGTGGAGCACAGGTGGAGACAGCGAAGCCGCTGCTTTCCGCCTCGGCGAAGATCGTCATCCCAAGGACCGCCAGGCAGGAGGACGCGAGCATGAACCTCGGAGTGTTCATGGCCACTTTCGCCGTCGAAAACGGAGACCCTGCAGCACTCAGCCGCGGGCCAGTGGCCCTGGGTCATCTGCACCTCTTGGGCAAAACCAACTTCCGAAAAAAACAGAACAAACACCCTTCTCTGACTAAGAATGCCTTTAAACCCCTCTTTAAAGACACCTTAAGATTCAATCCAAAAAGCAAACAAAAAGAGAACCGAAAGACTCAAGGCCTCGGAGGCGTGGCTGAGGCTCACTTGCCGCGATAAGGTGGGCTCAGGGCTCTCCTTCGGCAGATAGAGCCTTTTTGCTTTTGGTTGTTGGAGTGGCTCCTTAGGGCTCGGATCTTCTAGGAGCTTTTTGGAGCTCTTTCTAGGGGTTCTGAGGGTTCCTGCTGCAAGGTTCCACAAATCGGGTTTCCAGGAGCTTCTGGGGGTCTGGGGCTCTTTTGGGTTCTGTAGGGGTTTGTTCCCCGGCTTTTGGGCGCTTTCGGATCTCCTCCAAGCCCTCCTCCACCGTCTTGATCACCGCTTCTTCGTCGTCGTGCTCAGCGGGGTAGAAGTAGCAGAGGACCCACCAGGACCTGCTTGGAGCGCTTGTTCGAGGGTTTTTCCTGTTCCTCGAGAGCGAAAAGCCGCTGTTTGGTTCCTGGCACAACGGTGGCGGGGACGGCCTTCGTGTTCTCTCGCGCAAGAGGGAGACGTGCGCAGTAGGTGGTGTTAAAATGTGGACGTCTTGAGATCTGCCGAGGTACGACGGGAGCTGAGATGAAGAACCAACTCCTGGAGAGGACAAGGCGATGCCAAGGCGATGTCAGGCATCGTGTGGCTGAGCTGCCGACCACAGTGAGAGCTTGTGGTCCTCGGCTCTCAACTGATCAGCTCTGCTCTACGAAGCCGTGGCTCCGGAGTGTCTTTCGTCCCAATTCCTGAGGCGCATGCAAAGTCCCGCAAAAGGCTCACCTTCATAGGCGCTGCAGCGCCGAACCGTGCCACAGCATCTTCCGCACTGAGGCTGAGCGGGCGGCTGTGATGAGCGTCACAGGACTGGAAATGGGCAGAAGAATGGAGCCTGGCAATTCGCGGAACGCACGCCGGCGCAGACTGCGGACATTCTTCGATGTCATCAACTTGATTTAAATGCGGTTTCTGAGCTCCCCGCCCGCGTTGGCAGCAAACGCGACTCCCAGCAGTAGGCGCTTGATCACGGGCACCTCCCTGAGAGGCAAGAAAGCTGCAGTCTGCTGCAGCTACTTCGTTAAAGGGAAACCCCGACCCGAAAGCCAAGCGGGCCGCAGCTGTCCGGGGCCCCTCTTCATGAGGAGCGGTTTCAGGGCCGCCAGCACTACCTGAAAGTCGATGTCATGGAAGAAACCACACAGCTTCTCCCACTTTGTACGACGGAAGCCGTAAAGGGCCCTGGCAATGGACCCCGAGACCAACACGGAGCAGGCTGCCATGGTAGAGAGCATGATCACCTGGGACGCGGAGTGTCAGAATCAATATCCTTAGTACCAGCTGAGAAATAGCGCTGGGGAGGTCACAAGAAGATTCTAACAGATTCCCGTTATCAATACTCCTTTCAACAAGGGGCCAACTCTACTACATAAGGGTTCTTTAGTTTCTGAAACTCCGAAAATCAGGCGAAAAAGCATCAAATAAAAATTGCATGGCGATTGTAGGGTACTGTTCTGCCGCAAGGTATTGGGGAACTACACTTTCCAAGGTCCCACAGTATTGGGGAATGACAAGTTGCAATCGCCTTGTGGGTCTCGCTGTTGGGGAACTACATTGTGCAATCTTTTGTCCGGAGCAATAGTAGTCATAGTAGTAACCATAGCCAAAGTAAAATCGTATATTCATGATGGTATGAACAACAACATCAGTAATAATGGAACTCATAGTAGAAAAAGTAACATTATAGAAATAGTAGTAAGAAAAAAAGTAGTCGTAGTACGAGTACGAGCAATACTCGCACTAGTAATCATACCAGTAGTACCAATAGTAATAGTAGTCGTCGTAGTAGTAGTAGTAGTAGTAGTAGCAGCAGCAGCAGCAGCAGTAGCAGTAGCAGTAGCAGCAGCAGCAGCAGCAGCAGCAGCAGCAGTGGCAATAGCGGTGGCAGTGGCATTGGCAGTAGCAGTAGCAGCAGCAGTAACGGTAGCAGTAGCAGTAG